CCAAAAATGGGCTGCTTGAGGGTGTTTGGCGGCAGGGCGTCCAGGGAGGGTCTTCTCGGGAGCAGGTTTGTTTGGTGGGTCAAGGCAGAGAGCTGCTGTAGGGTGGTGGATCCCTTGGTGCTGCTGGAAGAGGGTTTTTCGCAGCAGTTGAGGGTTTGCCCCACGTTTTCCTGTGTTGTGTCCAGCAACCATCGCTTTCCCCTACATGTCGATGTTACTCTGCCGACGGGGAGTTGTTCCTCCCCTCCCCCCCGGGTGTGCTCTGGAGAGGATGGCTGAGGTGCCTGTCCGTGGGATATCTTTAGGAGAACAGTCCCTCTGGCAGCTCCTGCCAAGTCCTGGTGCAGCAGCTGAATCCGTGGCAGTGCAGCCTCACCGTGCTCCGCTTAAGCATCACTTTTCTTGGTCTTTATTTTTTAGCAAAATGAAACTGAAGGAAATAGATCGTACTGCCATGCAGGCATGGAGCCCTGCCCAGCAGCACCCCATTTACCTGGCCACAGGTGAGTTTTTGGGAAGCATGGACTGACAGACCTTTGGCTATGTGCGGTAGCTGCCATTGAGTGGCCCTAACTAAAAGTTGTAGAAGTTACTTCGTGTCCTGGAGGCTGGAGCAGGGTATAGGTTGTGGTGTCTTGAGTAGAATTCTCCAGTTGTGCCAGCATGAAAACATGCTTTGCATTCTGCAAGCGACAGCAAGCCATCCTCCTCCTTCTTCCAGGGGAAGGTGACAGCAATCCTAACTGCTGGTCACCTGTGGCTTGTTTGTAACTTTGATCATTTTCTGTGCATCATCATGGAGAGAGAGGTATTTGCCCAAAGCTTTTCCTGCTGATATAGGTTAAGAAACACCCGAAGGGTGAACCATGGGGAGAAGAGTTATGTAGCACTGCATCTAAATAACAGAAACCTGAACCCCGTCTTGGGGTCCTTTTTGCAAGGATGTTGCTTTTATGTCCCTCCTTGTGCTGCTTTTGCAGTCAGTGCTTTGTGCAGTGGCTTTCTCACTGCCAGTCGTGCTTCCTTGCAGGTACATCAGCTCAGCAGCTGGACGCCACCTTCAGCACAAGTGCTTCTCTAGAAATATTTGAGTTGGACTTATCAGATCCTTCACTGGATATGAAGACCTGTGCCACATTCTCCTCCTCCCACAGGTAGGCAGTGTTGTAAGGGAAAAGTGACATCTGTGAAACTGTTGTACGCGGTGTGTGTGGAAAGGTCTCTTCATGTGGTGTGTCTGCATTTGTTGAGGAGAGGAGCAGAAGTTCAGCACTGAGAGATGAAGGCACACGAGTGCCACTGATGTTGTAGGGCAGTGAGCTTGGACTGCAAGGGGTTGCAAGCAGCTCACGCTCGGACATAAACCTAAAACATCTGACATTGGCTGGAAGGTTTGAGTGTGTATGTGGAGTCTCTGGGATTCACAAGAGAACAGAAGAAAACGTGAAATTGTGAAAACGCAGTACTAACCTTTCCTGTTGCCCCATCCTGTTTGTATTTAGGCATTTCAGGCAGGCTCCTGTAACATAACTAAATCGAGTCATGTCATATGTATTCCCACAGCTGGGAAGCCAAGTTTGACTGTACAGCTCCACTTTAGTGCTTAGTTCCTTACTGTATGCTTATCCAGAGAGACATTGTTAGCATCAGAGCATCCAGTTTCCATCTCAGCAGCGCTTGTGGCAGCTCTTTGGCAGCTGGTCCGGTGCCTGCTGCTCCTTGTGGGTGAAACATCCACAGTCTCTGTTTAATGCCCTGCACTGTGGGCAAAGCTGATGTTAATGTGTCCTACTGACCTGCTCGGAGCAGGATGAGGTGTTTGATCTTTTAGAATTTCATTGCTCTACCTTGTTTTAACTATGACTGAGATTCTTCGAGGCTTGTTACTTGTTTACTGAATTTCAAAGAACCCTCCTTATAGCTGGGATGCAGCGCTCCTGTGAAATTACCTTCCTTGATGAGCAACACAAGAATTTGACTTTGCCCCAGAAAATGCATTACAAAGGAGGTCTTTTCATTTAAGATAAGATAGCAGAGTATACATCAGGCTGTTTTGGTTTGCAGCAAGTGAAAATGTCCTGGTGATTAGACCCACAAAAGATAAATCCTTTCCAAGGAAAGTTTTGCACTGCTCTTGTAGAACCATGCTTTATCTTGGAAAGAGCAAAGGGCAAGAAGAAGGTAGTTGAACAGTTGACTCAGCTTTTTTGTTTCTTACTGTTTTCTACCTTCATTTTGGATTATCTGAAGTCTTGTTCAGTCTTGCTGGTGGTGCCTGGACAACCCTGTCAGTTGCTTCATTTCTCGTCAACTTTCATGGTTAGGTGCAGAAGTATAAAAATCATACCCAGGGAATGAGGCTGTCTGATATCACAGACCAATTTCCTTTTGTAGCATCATTCTTTGGGGAACCCCCACTGTAATCTGAACAGTGAGAGACTCAGCACTTGGCTATTACAGTATTTCTCACCCAGCATATGCTCTTTGTATAGCTTCCTGCAGGATGTATTTTATCCTGCTGAAGTTGCTGTGATTAAAAGAAATTACTTGAAGACTTCCCAGAGATAACAAAGAGATTAATAATAATACAGTGCATGCTAAAGTAGCTCCTTGCCACCTTCCTGTCTGTGTGGGTTTGCTTTCTGTTTGCATAAGAACGGATGGGTAACTATGTCATTTTATTGGAAGAAATTCATTCCTTGCATGGCTAAATGCACAGGAATGCTGTTTTGCTTATGTAGCAAGTTCACTGAGATGAAGGAGATTTGGGTATTTACAGAGAGACACAGTGGTGCAGAAATTCTTAATTTCTGGAAGTGTGTTTAGTTCCTTGTGATTTAGCCTGGAAAATAGACTGTGGTCCAAGAGATGTGTCTGTGATGTGAGCAAACCACTTGCTGAGCCCCTGGTGTGGCAGATGAAGTGCTTGCACATCCAAAAGCACAGATATGGGAAGGGATGTAGAATTTCTCTAGTTCCACCTTTTTTTTTTTTTTCTTCCCCTCTTATGTGAAGCTGTTGGCAAATAGCAGAAGTTTTTCTCCAGGCTGCAGTTGGATGGGCTTACAGTGAACTTACTGTAAGTACTCCTTACTTTGAGTACTCCTATTGTTTTGCAAAGGTGAGCTCAAAATCATGTGCAACTGGGTGCACTTACTTGTTTTTGCAGCCAGGACATTAGAGATGTTATCAGTATCCAGGT